ACAGATCAGTTTGATGCTTGTATACCTGAACATATGTAGGCTATATTGGTTGCCATGTGTTGCTGTGTTAATTATTAATTATAATTTGATATACATATCTGGTTACTAAATGTCGGTAGAAAGAAAACCTGTTATTGATTCCGTCGTCTTGGTATAGGAGACATGTACATATTTAAACAGTCCTGTTTCATGTGACCCTGAACATGGCAATGCTCTGCACTCGGTAGTGTGGCGTGGCAGCCACGAATTACATGGACACAGACGTTAGTCTATCAATAAACTTTCATGCATATTTTGATTTATGAAAAAACAAATCAGAAGGTGGGGGTAGACTAGAGCTTTGAAATTCGTTTGTCACACTAGATATATCTAGACTGTATTACACTGACAGTATTTTTCTCTGATTTCCGAGGACATGATATTCTGAGTGTATCTATACATCAAGGAGCGACCCGTCAAGATCCGGGGTAGAATAGGTCTTCAGCAAACCCATGCTTGCCGTAAAAGGCGACTGTGCTTGCCGTAAGAGGCAACTATCGGGATCGGGTTGTCAGGCTCGCTGACGTGGTTGTTGCATGTCATCGTATCCCAATTGTGTAGATCGATGCTCATAATGTCAATCACTGGATTGTCTGGTCTGGTCGATTATTTACAGACTGCCGTCAAATAGGTGGAATAGTGCTGATTGAGGCGTTAAACAACAAACGAACAAAAATATCAAGAAGCGTGGATTCTAGTAACTCGTGCCAAAGATCAGGGCTTCCCGTTGTTTAGTCCAAATGATGGAATGTATGTGTCTCTGTCTAGCAAATAAAGGCGAAAAAAACTTTCCATATTCCATATTAATCTATGTTAAAAGCAGGCTCGATTGTACGATTCCGACTGCAGTGGAACCCCGCTTATCCGGACCCCAGATATACGGAAACCCTACCTTCCGGTACGATATTTACGTGAGACGAAATATATACCAAATAAAATGCTTCCTTTATCTAGAAATCCTGTTTTAGGATCCGTAAAGTGAATTTCAATTACCAGCCGTGCAAATTACATATCATAAGTATGTATTTTTAAACCTTTGCAACGAAACCAAGAACATTTAAATGGCTGTATTATTCACCCCCAAATCAAGCATTGTGAAAATTTGAATGTATTTGATTTTAATCTCGTCAGCAAGCATGGTAGAAGTTCACGGATAAGAGACCCTGTACATACAAATAGCTATACAAAACAACATTTTCATGTCGGAAAGGGTTTCGGTAATTCAAAATCCAGCAATTGTTATAAACTAAGACCACGGGCAGATTATGTGCATAATGATTGGCCGTCACGCCTATATCTAACGTGGGTATAGATTAGAGTATTTATACGTTCGCACGATTTCAACGGCTCTCCTATTACCATGGTTAATCTGTCATGTCATGATTAACTATAGTAATAGGAAAGAATCGGGTGTTATTTAACTAATTTGAGTAGTATATATCCTACTACCTGTGAGTATGAACATGACCGTAGTTAACTTTTTTTTGACAGGGGGCACAAGGAAAAATGTTTTCTATCAAAAATCCGGGGTGGGGGGGTGGGGGGAGTGTGTGTGTGTGTGTTGTGGGGGGCGGGGGGGGGGGGGGGGGGGGGGGGGGTAGTCCTTAACGGTGAATACTGTGATCCTAAACGGTGGGGCAGCTACGTGGTTAAATAATTGGTTGTTGAAACGTCGATAGCCCTGGTTCGATTTCTCACATGATCACAATGCCCATTTCTGTGTGTCGTGGATGGAATTATGCTTAAAAACGGCGTAAAACCATACTCACTCATCCACATTAAACAGTTGAAATATTTTCCTTACATGACACTAAACTGCCGGGCAAAAGAAAGTATACACTTGAAAATACCTGGTTCACTCTGCTCAGTACTGTGTTCTGTGAAATTGAGATCCCCATGTTCCCATTCGTGACAAACTCGTGTTATTTCGGGACAAGCCTAATAGCGATTCGTGGCCATTTGGAGGACTGGGTTCCATCTTAGCGCAAACGGGCATAGCTAAAATAATTGTCAACTCGTTGCTACTGATTCACGCATATTTCCTCCATATATCATATATATTCCAGATGCTATTGAAAACACGTCGGGACTTATATTATTAAACGATATACATGTAGTTGAATACATTTAAATGTATCTTGGGTATATTTTTAAATGCAAGACATGTTAAATCAAACATTATTCCTGCGGGATTCTTTGACAGATATAATTGAAGTCATACGCGCATTCAGATTGGTTTGTCGTATTTTCGCACATGACATTTATCGATAGGGGGACGAGTCTTCTTGCACGTTACGGAAAGGGGCGAGTGGTGACGAATGCCATGTTTATTGAGACGTCACGTGCACGTCACCTGTTGTGAGATACTCATTGATGTGATACATATAATTACTACCTATGATACCCGAATGAAATACATCGCCATTGAATAACCCATTTCTTGTTTCCTTCATTTTTAGCCACCATTAAACATGAGTGTGTACTTTCTTTTGCCCAGAACTGTATATAACCAGAGACAAGATCTATTATATGGTCTCTGATATGACGCAGTCATTGAAAGTTAGCATAAGAGGTGCTGCATATGTAAAACACATAATCTTTTCATATATCTGTCGAACAGGATGTTCTCGTGTGTTTACGTAATATTATTATAAGATCATGCTGTGGGTCAAAAAGATATATACTTTCCAGCATTGTAATAAAACTCGTACACACATTAGAGCAAGTGGAATTCAGATTCTTACATTACACAATGTCAAGGTCGGTGTATCACGTTGTTGACATGTTCTTGTTTGTGTATATGTATATATATACATGTATATATATATAACCAGTCCCCCAACGGTGTGGTTGCATGGGTGGTTGACCTGGGTCATACGGTTGACTGCCTGTTGAAGTGGAGATTGATAAAGCGAGACGACAACAAACATAATACATCTACCCAATCGTAAACAGCGACAAGGTCACGTGGTATCATAATATGCACGTCATGTTAAAAAATACCCGGATCTGTGCACAACCAATCACAGCTGACGATACATTCTGCTTTCACGTGGCATGGCTTTTCGTGGAATCATTATGAGATACATATGGTACTTTAAGACAGTGATGCTTTTTTCATAGAAATATATTATGAAGTTTCTCAACACGAGAACAAAGCAGTAGAACAGTTCGTCTTATTATCATTGCAACCATAAATGATAGATAATTCGTAAGGAAGATAATTAAGCGTGTCCTACCGGGTTAAAGTATACTTCTGGGCAAAAGAAAATATACACTTGAAATTTGGATTTAGCCACAATATAACATACGTTATCAAAACTAGGCCGAAAACAGCTCTGGAAACTTATAGTCTAAAGCAATTAGATACCCGTATCAAAGACATCACCGTCGAATAACCATGCCTTGCTTGTTTCATTTTTAGCCGCCATCAAGCATGACTGAATACTTTCTTTTGGCTGTCAGTTTATGTGCAGTGACATTGCATTTTCTTCACATTTGAGAGGCCTATCCGAGCAGACTTTCGCGTTCAGAGAACATTGATGCCTGGGTGTGGGACCTTGAAGAAATATTGCAACTGTAGGATTGTACTTTTTGGTCGTTTTACATTTCTCTGAAACACATTAATAATGTCCAAGAATCCGGGTCGGTTCTGTGAGAGTCATGGTTGCCATGACGACGTCCTCGCTGGGAGAAGAACCTTGAGATCTGATGTGGATTAAAGTTTAATCATCTGTATTGACGTCGGGGCTTGTGAGGTATAGGATAACGTACCGATGTATCTCAGATGGAATTAACAGTCAACTTTGAGGCGAAAGGACAAGAATGCACTGTGTTCATATTGAACGACCGATACACAGAATAAGTCTTTACATTCAATCCGACATAGATGCCTCTCGGGGACAACTCGGATCAGGGACAAATGTGAGCGCACGAAAACAAGCTTCTTGAAAGTACCTCACTGTTAACGTTCCCTTGAACTCGTCTCTGTTTGTATCAACCCTCCAAGTTCCCAGTGGCCTCGTTCCACCCCTTTCTTCGTTCCCTGTAGTTAACCCTATTCTTCTTTTTATCATCCTCCCGTCTCCCTGTATTTACCCCCCACCCCCCCCCCCCCCCCCCCCCAACCCCCACCCCCCACACACACATACCCCTACCCCCCGTCATATCTTCATCTCGTTTCCTGGTACTACCACATCCCACCCCACCCCACCCCACCCCACCACAACCCGACCACCCAGCCTGCATATTCTACCCGCTTTCTACCACAACAATATTAGAAGCAGAATATCAACAATTAATCGGACAATGATACCCAGTTGCATAAGCCAGGCCTGAATCCGGGTGGATCATATACCCGGGTATCGTGTCCGTGTTGGTGCGCCAATGCCACACATCAACTACCCACTCAAACTCTTGAATATGGACTAACTAGACCATGTGGTAAGAACGATATACAGTAGAACCTGGATAAAGCGAATACGGATAGAACGAACAAACGGATACAACGAACTGTTATAAAATCCCCGATTTATCTCCTCTATATCATTATATACTGGTTTATATATTCAATTTTATGCCTTTTATACTTAAGATTGATTCTATAATCATAACGATCCTCTGTATGTGAATCTGTCGTTGGCTATACATTATTCGGACAATGGCTCGTATTTGGTGTCCGTGTCGTATTATCGATTAATATTAGCCTTTTTCATTTTGTCGTGAAAGTGTTCAATATCTATCAATACCAAACATCACCACATACGTCCGACACCGACTTCATACCAGAGGAAACTGTGGTTGCAACATGTACAGTATACTGAAATCAATAAAGCCGATCACATACTAACTATACTGCGCAATTGTAATGTCAATTGGAGGCATCCATTGTCCTGTCTTATTTCTTGAAATATGTTTGGGCGTTTATCCCTTGATGGGGCAAGAAAACCAGTGTAACTCACCCTTCAACAGACACGGCCATAAGAACGACGACAACGACGACAGTCAACGTGAGCGCCATAGCTCCACAGCGCAAGCCCATCACACTTGGTACAATGCTGCTCCGCTGTCGGGTATGAGGCGCGCTCGCACCTGGCCAGGTATACCTACCTCCCTGTGGATGTCACGTGATCCGTCTCGCTCTGCTCGCCAAGGCCCAGTTTGCTTCCTGGTACAATTACAAAGCTCCGACAGAAGCTGTTGCCTTCATATCTTTTGTCAGGACTAATATTAAGTCACAGCTCTGGGTTTTACTGCTCTCTCGAAGCAGTTGACAAGTATATTTCAGCTATGATATGAGATGTGGGGTTGTCACGGCCATCCCTTTAACTTTTTAACTAGTATTTTAAATGTTTAGCTTGCAATTGGTGTGTCGGTTTCGTTCATTGTGTAGTGCAAAGTTGTGCATTCGTGTGGTGATGTGGGTTATGTGTTTCGCTGACTTGACTGGCGTACAACCGTCACAGTTGTGTTTCCAACCCTGCTGCTTGTGGGTGTGGGTGAGTCGACACTTTTCTCTGGAATGGGGTAAAGAGGGTGGTATTGCAGGTGTTATAGATGGTGGTATTGGAGGTGTTATTGAGGTGGTATTAGAGGTGTTATTGAGGGTGGTATTGCAGGTGTTATAGATGGTGGTGCTGGAGTTGTTATTAAGGTGGTATTAGGGGTGTTATTGAGGGTGGTATAGGAGGTGTTATAGATGGTGGTATTGGAGTTGTTATTGAGGTGGTATTAGATGTGTTATTGAGGGTGGTATAGGAGGTGCTATTGATGGTGGTATTGGAGTTGTTATTGAGGTGGTATTAGAGGTGTTATTGAGGTTGGTATAGGAGGTGTTATTGATGGTGGTATTGGAGTTCTTATTGAGGTGGTATTAGAGGTGTTATTGAGGGTGGTATAGGAGGTGTTATTGATGGTGGTACTGGAGTTGTTATTGAGGTGGTATTGGAGTTGTTATTGAGGTGGTATTAGAGGTGTTATTGAGGGTGGTATTACAGGTGTTATTGAGGTGGTATTAGAGGTGTTATTGAGGGTGGTATAGAGGTGTTTTTGATGGTGGTACTGGAGTTGTTATTGAGGTGGTATAGGAGGTGGTGTTATTAAGGTGGTATTAGAGGTGTTATTGAGGGTCGTATTGGAGGTGTTATTGATGGTGGTACTAGAGGTGTTACTGAGGGTGGGTATTGAGGGTGTAATTGAGGGTGTTATTGAGGGTGGGTATTGGAAGTGTTATTGAGGGTGGTATTGGAGGTGTTATTGAGGGTGGTATTGGATGTGTTATTGAGGGTGGTATTAGAGGTGCTATCGAGTGTGGTATTAGTGGTGTTATTGAGGGTGGTACTGGAGGTGTTATTGAGGGTGGAACTGGAGGTGTTATTGAGGGTGGTATTGGAGGTGTTATTGAGGGTGGTATTGGGGGTGTTATTGAGGGTGGTATTAGAGGTGTTATTGAGGGTGGTATAGGAGGTGTTATTGAGGGTGGTATAAAAGGTGTTATTGAGGGTGGTATTAGAGGTGTTATTGAGGGTGGAACTGGAGGTGTTATTGGGGGTGGTATAGGAGGTGATATTGAGGGTGGTATTGGATGTGTTATTGAGGGTGGGCATTAGAGGTGTTATTGAGGTGGTATTAGAGGTGTTATTGAGGGTGGTATAGGAGGTGTTATTGATGGTGGTACTGGAGGTGTTATTTAGGGTGGTATTTGAGGTGTTATTGAGGGTGGTATTGGAGGTGTTATTGAGGGTGGTATTGGAGGTGCTATTGAGGGTGGTACTGGAGGTGTTATTGAGGGTGGTACTGGAGGTGTTATTGAGGGTGGTATTAGAGGTGCTTTTAATGGTGGTACTGAAGGTCTTATTGAGGTCGTATTGGAGGTGTTATTGAGGGTGGCACTGGAGTTATTATTGAGGTGGTATAGGAGGTGTTATTGACGGTGGTATTGGAGGTGCTATCGAGGGTGGTATTTGGAGGTGTTATTGAGGGTGGTATTGAGGATGGTATTGGTGGTGCTGTTGAGTTTCAAGCAGTTGTTGAAAATGATTTACATAGTTATTTGTTTCAACAATTATTACACGGATATAAAAGCTATTGAAGTTTGAATCGTAAGATGTTAACAAGCTACTAACCACAATAATTGTGAAGAAAACATAATATCCAAATATTTAAGGTAAGCTACAACACTGACCGGAGCATTTCCATAAATCCATCTGCCCTGTTTTGCATCTATTCCGCCATTTAGAAACAAGATCATGTTTATTATATTCAAATTTGACTTCAATCCCCATTTCAAACAAAACGAATTAATACTTACTAAATCACTTACTTCAAATAAAAATATCACAATTTCATCAGCAAACAAAACACCAGGTATTGAGGGTGAGATGCTATATTGGTTACTATAGAGATGGTACGGAGGTTAGTATAGGGTAGGAGTGGATTATAGTATAGGCGGTGATGTAGGTGGTGGTACAGGATCGGCTATGAGTGGGGTAGGGTGGTATTAAAGGTGATATAGAATGTGCCATACGGAGTGGTATTGACAGACAGACAGACAGACAGACACAGACAGACAGTTTATTCAATATTTTAGGCCATATGACCTATAGTACAGAAGTATTGTACAGTCATGTGTAGGTAATAATAAGTTTACATATAATATTAACGTCTAATTTCAAAAATCTTCCTCAGGAATTTTGACAGAGATGATATTGTATTCGCATTGCGGGAGTTCAACAAATTTTTGATCAGTTGTTCATCTTTGTACATAGTTGGAATCATAGGGAGGTATCTATTTCTAAGAAGCTGATAATATTTACAATTAAGAAGTACATGAAACTCATCCTCCACATAGCCTTCATTACAATAACGACATAAACTACTTTCTTTATCTTGTACATTTTTCTTTCTGAGATTATTAACATTAAAATTATGTAATGATATACGTAATTTACACAAAGATCTTCTCAAAGTTCTATCCTGAAGTTCAGATACATATTTTTCAGGAACAAGTAATGATTTGCATAAAAACCTTGAGGATGATATTTGACAGTGCCAATTTTGTGAAAATATATCAAGTCATCTTTGCTAAGCATGAAGATAAATAATTTATCATTTACAACATCTAGAGATATCCACGTAAGAGAAAAAACAGACATACAAAGAGTATTCCTGATATCAGACACCCATAAACAATGTTTACTCTTTTCGTCCATGGTATTGAGGAGGTATAGGAGGTGTTGTAGTGGGAAGTGTGAAGGCTGTATTGAGAAATCTACAGGCGTGCGTGCGTGCGTGCGTGCGTGCGTGCGTGCGTGCGTGTGTGTTGGTCCGGACTGATGAGGTGAGGGTGATATGGATGGTGTGGTATTCATGATGGTATGGGGGTGGTATTAGTGATGGTATTGATGATGACATATGGGTGGTCTTTGCACGTGTGTGTCTCAAGTGGCTTATTTGCAAGTGTCTCTTTGTGTTTGCATGCTCGCTTGTGTGTAGGTGTGTGTTTGTATGTTAGCGAGTGTGTGTCTTTGATCATGTGTGTCTGTGTATATATATATATAGAGAGAGAGAGAGAGGTGTGTGTATGCGTGTTTGACATCACATCTTTGAGTGTGTGTGTGTGTGTGCAGGTAAACAGGAATGCTACTGAAGTGAACGCTACATGTGTTACAATGTGTAAAATGACTGAAATCTTCTTTTAGTCAATTTACAAAATGTCAAGATATTTCAGTTATTTTATAATTATATATCCGTACGATTCACTAAAAGCTATAACGAAGTTCAAAAGGGCTTATAAACATCACAATAGACATATAATGCTTGGATTAGAAACCCAAAAGTTAAAAAATATATACATTGACTTTCGTTTTCGTTTTATCCCTGTCATGTTTAGTCACTGGATGATGTAACAGAGTATAAAAATGTTTGGAATTCGTTATCATAAAATACTAAATAGAAAACAATTATAAAATGACGAGAATATTTTGCCTTTTTTATAAATTGCCTAAGTGAAAATTACAGTTATTTTACACATTGACTGTGACATATATAAATATCAGCTTCATAGAGTACACGTGTACTCGCAGCTCCAAGGAGCACAATCACTGGGCTTGAGACTTGGGCAGCGTGGGAGCTGTCGCTTACATAAAGTTGAAAAGGTCGTGTTTTGGTCACTATATAATGGCACTTGACGACAGTCACAGAGGGCGACCTTGACCCCCCTGTAACCAATGGAAAACTATGTATTTGAGCATGACATTTTGTCCATGATCACTCAACCGCTAAGGCCGGGTATTAAACGTGTAGCCAAAAGCATTAACTCACGTGTCCGTCAGTGTGAGGATATTGGTGATGTTGGAGGTGAAGTCTTCACTGTAAGATGGTGTGACGTCATTATTCGGAACATGATGTTACAACAACGACGATTAACAGTAAGAGGATTGATTGCGAATATAAAGATATATACTCACCGACTAAAGAAACGCGAATACCATACATGTTGGTTAATATATGACGAATTACTCATATTCAAGAGATATTAGATTTGTTCGATGCACAAACGAATATACTGGTATGTTGTGTGAACCGACGCTTATGAACGCATCATGAGATGCGTCAGAGATCCATGACTCGAGATGCAACATTTGTCCCGTGCAGGATAAGCGTGTAAAGTTTGAAAATCTCGTGCAACCTATCGTGATAATATAGAGAATAAAGACACTGTGTGGTAATACTTGATTGTAAGTTTTGTCAATAATTGGTACACATTGGAAACATCTCTTCATAACGTACACACTTCTCTATAGGTTTCTATGGTTCGAGTTTCTTTTAGCAGTGACTTTATATAACAGGGGATCTGGGAAAACCACACACACAAACACACACACACACACACCCATAAACACACACACAGACACACACGGAGAGACACACGCAGACATGCACAGACATTTGGATACAGACACACACGGAGAGACACGCAAGCAGACGCAGACACACACAGACACACACAGAGACACACACACACACACAGACACACACGGAGAGACACACGCAGACATGCAAAGAGTTTTGGATACAGACACACACGGAGAGACACGCAAGCAGACGCACACACACAG